TGTCGCTCTTGCGCTTTCCGAATAATTTCCATGTCTGACTATATTGTACTCGTATACATACATATATTTTGATTATATTGAGTATACACCGCATATGGTTTATTGTGTATATAAAATCTACTTTTATCATAAAAATGTCTCAGGATCCAGTTACTGCCTCGAACATTGCCGAAGTTCGAACGGGAGGGATGAAACTAAATACTTCTTGTTGTACCGACCTTCTTTAGACAGGATGTACAAAATAGTACTGAATATACTGAAGTACGATTACACTTTCGCAACCTGTAGTTAGATTTTGACAAGCCTTATGTACCATTCAGAGTACGGTAAAGGTATATTATCTATCTCTGTCTTAAACTAATCTGACAGTCATGTGCGTCTTCGAGGTATAGCGAGAAAGTGACTCATAACGGCCCGAAGACTGAAAGACAGGCAGGCCTCTATAAACATCCCTTTCTTTAAACAGTCGGTGATGGCGTGGTCGCCGGTAGTGTATCTTGCGATCGTGGATTCGAACAGAAGAGTATTAATAAGAGTTTACAATCGATTACAGTGGTAGGGCCACGCCACAGCTTCGGCTGTTGCACGAATGGGCAGGCCCGTCCGGGTAAGTACCACGACCTCACAGAAGACCGGCGTAAAGTAGAAGTGTTGCATTTCTGCGTTTCGTCTTTTCGAGTGAGGCAGCCAGGGCCCACATTATTAAGAGGTGGCAACGCATCTGCAACCCTACGGGTGTTGCAACTGTTCATGGGCGGCGGTTATTACTTAACATCAGGTGAACCGCCAGCTCACTTGCCACCTTCTCACATAATAAAAAAAACTTGGATTTTGAACGTACACAACCTGTGTTTTGCAACTGTTCGCTATTTTCGTTGCCAGGCCGCGACATGTTTCGTTCCGGCCTAAAAATGCTTGATAGAACTGAGTACAAAGTTTATACCCGACCCGTGTTGCTTTAAGACGGGCTAGCTCATTGTCAAGAAGTAGCATCGAACTCCTCAGAGAGATGGCAAGCGTCATAACAAGTCTAGTGTTCTGTGCATAAAAAACGGCCAAGTGCATGTTAACATGCTATGGAAATTTTATGACGCCGCGTATAACGTAGCGATTTTTTTAAAAAATAAATTACAGTGACGCACCCAGCGTGCCTTTGAATTTCGTGACCCAAATACATTTTCATCGGTCGCAATGCGATATGAGTTACGCCCGCTATTAATTTCGTCTCTAATCGCACACAGTGGATCTGTGACGTGGCTGGACTACCGAGCGAACGAACTAATTTCTATCTCGACCTTTACAAGGGCGGACGCAACGCCGCCCCACGCACTGAGGACCCCAAAAAATTTGGGCTTTTAAAAAAACCATACTTTTACTAGCAGAATTCATGTACATCCGCCGTCAAGTGGAAGTATAACACTTACGCGGTTCGTCTGGTGAGTGAGGTAGCCGGAGCCCAATTTTCAAAAGGTTGTCGACGCATCTGCAACCTTCGGGTGTAGCAGATGTCCACGGGCGGCGGTATTCACTTAACATCAAGTGAACCGCCTGCACGCTTGGCAACTTTTCACATAAAAAAAAAACAAAAGATCCACTTCTTTAAAGATTAATACATTTACAGCCTATCAAATGTTGCACATGTCCATTTTTTTGGGGGCATGGGGGATGTGTCGATGCATACTCTAACTCGCGGGTGCAAGAGCGGGCTATTTCTAACTCGCCCTGACTAAAAACCTCTGATTTACGCGTCGCGGGATCGCTTTCGCTGACCTCCGCGACTCCTTTTTTTTGGTACGGGGGGAAAATCTTCGAAAGATACCCCTGTCACCTTACATGACAGGGTTATGTGGGGTTCTTACCCAATAAAACTCCCTCTGTGGCCACCCTCCGTACATGGGAGATCCGGTGCTCCGGGATCTCCCATGGAACGCACCGGTGTCCCTCGGTACAACGTGTGAGCAGCACGAGACCACTTCGTGCTGCTGCCCATCCGTGTCCCCTTTTTGTCGCCTTTTACGACAGGCAGGCGATACCTTAGCCCTATTCTATGAGCCCGGGACTACAGGGCTGACCTCCGCGACCCTGCCAGCACCTGCCGCTTTAGTAGCCTTTCCACGGGAGGCAACCATTTCTCGTCCAGGTATAAACTGCTTGAACATTAAGCGACCCGCTGCACAGAGGCTATGGTACCCGGGAGAACCACTGCTAACAAGCATCAAGTCTCCCGGCCCCCTGCGGCATAGATACGCAGTAGGCAGGCAGCGGGCCCATGGTCTATGGTTTCGTCGCTCACCACCATATTTTTACCATGGTCCGCCCAACAACTTCTGCTGTTGCACGAATGGGCAGGCTCGACCGGTACCACAGCCTCACAGTAGACCAGCGTGAACTAGAAGTATTTATACAATAGCTTTTCGTCTGGTGAGTGAGTTAGGCAACCGGTACCCTTTTGTACCCAGTTGTCACTGTCTGCAAGTCCTTGGGTGAAAAGATGTCTTTGGACGCCGGTATTCACTTGACTTCAGGTGAACCAAAAAAGATCTATTTAGCATATATAGCCTTTAATCCAGTTTGGGTTGAAATGGTTCATTTTGCTCGATCATTGTGCACTTAAAAGCCTGTTACCAGCATTACCCGCCTGTTACAGCATTAGCGGCTCCCCCCATCACACGTGCACGTTCAATATACATTATTTCGTTTTTAAATGGAAACACGAACATAACCTTATAAATCGAATATAAAGCCAAATGCTCCACAAAGAACGGGGGCGCCTTCACGACTGAAACGACAATAGTCACTAAAAACCTCTCCATTTTAAACCATTTAGTTAAAGTCGCTTGAATGACGAAGCTCGGCGTATATAAAAAAGTAAGTGTCACTCAATTCCTTTACGGACTTTTTCATCTTTAAATAGATATCTGTTCTCGGTGAAAAAGCCTTTTCAATATACCTCGTTTCTATCTTGTTTTTCATTTCCAAAGGAAATGAATAAAACATCAAAAAGTATTCTTTTATCAGATCTGTGGAAGCTGTTAGACAAAGAAATGGAACGAGAAATGTGGGTGCGTTGCTCTCGGGCGCGGCGCAGTCAGTGAAAGAATTTTTTACGGCTACAACAGTGTTTTTACGATTTATTAACATTAAAGATCGCGTGTAAAAATGTTTTGACCTCCTTGTTATGAACTCTATCCTTAAATACAGTTCGTGATAAACATAATCTTTTACTGCTGCTTTCAACCTAACGAATGATATATTTTTTAAACATTTACGACGACGCGCCAATGTTGGACAATAGTGCACCAACTCAAATATAGCGTTCCGCACAGCAAAAACACTCAATCGACGAGCGGTTTTATTAATAGCCGTACAAAATCGTAAATTTCCGAACGCGCACTTTTGATGCGAAGCGCCCTGGCCAGCTGATCACGGCTATACAGGCGATAGGTATGCGTATCGCGTAGTCTCCCGACCTGACACGCGGCCGGCGGAGCGGCAACGCGGCGTTCGCGGCGTTGCCGCCCCGCGCGACAACGTGGCACGATGCCGCACTTACCCGTTCGGCCCGACTTGTTTTGCTGGCTCAGTTATAGTAGCTGTCGCTTCGGTATCACGGGTACGATCCATAATTCACGAGTGTACGTATAGTTCGCAGTTAATCACATACAACAGTACCGGTCGGTGCAAGTTTGGACGTGTCCAATTTGCGATGTTTTCCGAAACGCGGCTCATAACGGTGCCTGCGGCCAATTAAACGTATAGCGGCCGTTCCCAGCGATTCCGATTTCGCAGTTAATTGGTCCGCGGGAAAGAAACGAAAGCGTACAACGCGACGGAGGTCCCAGGTTCGCGCCTGCTCGTTAACTGTACCCGTTTTGGCAGTGCTGTCTCTTTACCGCTATTTCTCCGCGTGCAAGTTTTACTTTGTTATTTACCAAGCCTGGTTACATGGAGAGTGTTAAATAACGATAATTGAATAACGCTGTTATGTACACGTGTCAGATAATTACGTCACTTGTTATGCTGTAGGGTATTTGCACGTTTTATCTGAACTTAATTAATAATAATAACGCACCGGCATTATATTGAACTTTGTGTTATGTTCGATGCTTTTATTGTTTCTTCAAATAAATCTTAACGGACTTAGGTCGGCAGATATAGGTCATATTGAATACTCGAAAATGAATACGCGTCATATTCTTTCCGTTAGACTAGTAGTTTCTTTCTAATTGTCTTGTTTGTATATGTCCCACTGCTGGGCAAACGCCTGAGGTGCCCTATAGGCCTATGTATAGAGGATATTACGGCATAGACCACCACGCGACACCAATGGGGATTGGTGGACTTAAAATTTGTTCGAAAGTTTTTTTTTTGTTACGAAAATATGTAGTCCTCACGATGTTTTCCTTCACCGTTAAGTAAAGTCTCATAAGACAGCATTTGAAATTAACAATCAACATTGGTGTCAGCAGCGGAATTTGAATTCAGGTTTGCTGGAGTATATGGAATTAAAAATGACCGCCCGGACACTGAGTTATCAATATTTTACGTTATCAGATATTTTTTATCTCGGCATGTTATGTATGACTTTTGTTAGTAACTTTGCATTAAAAATCTAAAACATTAATCTAACACCTATGAGGTGGATTTGCAACTCAAGAAGTGACGCAAAACTTCATTCTGTGGACACCACTAACCGTTGCAACTCTGTAAGAGACTACTAATATATCCCGGAAGTAATATTGTTACCTAACGATAAAAAACGGGATGTGTTATATTTGCCCCGGGTTCTCCACATTCTTAGAATTCCATATCCATTTCCTAATCTATCGTTGCAAAGTTGGTTTAAACCGCTTTTAAAAAATACAAGGGTCAAATGTAATCACCTGATTTGGTTCAGCCGAACCACTATACGGCAACACTGGGCCCAATGTCCGTAGACAGCAGTTAAACAATTTAAAAAAAAAAGTCCTTATACAGCGATCAGCGGCGTTGCCATGGCAATGAAGCCGTTAAATAGTGACGCGATAGAATGCAGACGAGCACGCTCTCCCCCGCTCGTTACGATTTTTTCATCGGCGCGCCGCGATAAGGAGCGCATCGATCGCGCGTTGCCGCTCCGCTCGCCTCGGGCGGCGGGCGCGTTGCCGCACCGCTCGGCCTATTATTATTTATTATATTACGGACGCTGCACGGGGCTTGCGTCACCGTGCAATGGCCGAGTTCGGCCGCATATTGTCTTTTTGTTTTGCCGCTCCAGCGCCATCACGCCTCGCTCCCGGAACGGTGTGCACAGGCTTTGTACAGGTCTTTGGGTGTAAAGATTTATATGAACTACCTATTACTGTATAGTATTTAATACTTTTGCTCGACTATTTAAATTTTATCGATGAGAATTCTTGCAGCTGATGCTTCGATAGAACTTGTATCTTGATTCTACATTCCACATCTACAGATGGATTTGAGGATATAACAATAATCGTACTATATGTATGAGCAGATACCATTGGCATATAAATGTGAATAAATAATTACTTTATCGACGTCGCGCACTTCAGTTAAACCATTAACAAACGCGTCGTTCACATATCAAGATACGATTCCACTTATCTATTACTGTGTTAAATACACGCTCGTATCTCGTGATGTACACTCATTATAGAGTAAATAAAAAATTACATGTAACTAGATAGAAAAATACTTCGATGGTGGCGAGATAAAAATTTCTCCTCCTGGAAAAAAATCACAATTCTATAAGATTTTGTTTGAAAAACATTTGAAATACTTCGTAGGAAAGATGGAACTAAGCTACATATGGCATGTAGTTTTTAAAAAAACCCCGGGGGTCTTAAAATATTCTTATATGCAACTTAATTGTACCCTCGATGCACGCTATCAACTACGTTTCACTCTGTCGCGCGCCGTTCCACGACAACGGGTAGGCATGCGAGGGAGGCGACCTTTATAGCCACTAAAATGTTACGTTCCGTACTCTTACGTCGCTACAATAATTGAATATTTATTAACGGCCCGTTTCAATATTCAATCTACAGATAGATTTGGTTACTGGAGATAGATTTTAGACGTAAGTATTATGGAAACATATGCACAGTAAGTACGAAAAGATTGTCGCCGCTGTGGGAATCGAACCCACGTCTTCGGCAAGACAATCCGAAGACGTGGGTTCGATTCCCACAGCGGCGACAATTTTTTCGTACTTTTCCTACATATTTTAATAAGTGCAAAGATTAGCACTATAAACAATTTAAACTATAGCTATTAACCAAATACTATAATATATTGAAACAAAAATTTGCAAGCATGTAAAACTAAATCGAAAATTGTATCTATCATATCCAATTGTTGTGTCCTCCTTCATATTATTGTATTACTCATAAAGTTAAATAAAACAGTAAAACGGATAAACGGCGCGGTTGCTAAAGCCGGTAATAGACACGGTGACTGGGACGTGGTTTCGACACACGTCCTGAAGACCCAAATAGTTTCTCAACATAGTGTAGAATGTCTGTCAGCTCTGAAAGGATGCCTATAACAAATAAAACGACTCGAACAACAAACGTGACTTGGAGTAATCAACGCAAACTACAAGTCATAGATTTGCTTACATAAAAAAAAACCAAGTTTTAGAGCGTCGTCTAATACCAAGACTCGAGAGCGAAGTCCCGACCCTCGACGTCAATTCCACCCGACGCAGGCGATGATGGAGGGTACTTCGTGCTGCTGGATCACATTGAGAAAATTCACTCCTAAAGTTTGCCTTCGTCATACAACGTGTCGGTCAATGCTTGAGTATACCTCAATTATACGTCTTCGTTGAGCGCTTGCAACTATTTTTTTAAAAAAAGTAACAGCCTATACATATCTTATCCTTTAAACGAGCAATCTCGGAAACGGCTCCAGCGATTTTCATGAAATTTAGTATGTGCATAGATTCGGGGGCGAAAAATCGATCTAGCTAGGTTTCATTTTTAGAAAATGTACTTTTGTCCCTGTTTTCAGGGAATGAAAAATATAATTCGAATATGACTGTAAATTTCGCCGCAAGAGAAAGGCCGTGGTTCGCGTATTTTGTTATTTTTTTCCCTTTTTTTTTTAGTTCTTTCTTTTGTGAAAAACATCAGTTCATATTTTCTTATTATTAAGTCGGTAAGATCGAAAAATATTATGCATATTTCATTACTCAGTAATTTGTATCTAAATGTAATTTCCAAAATACACGATTTACCAAAAAAAAAAAAACAAACCGAGCAAAGCTCGGTCCTCCGGGTACTATATATTATAGGCTGTTGTTACCGGGGGATATCCCGCTGCTGGGCAAAGGCCTCCTGTTTTACAGAGGGTATCAGGGCATAGTCCATCAGGCGGCTCCACTGCGGATTGGCGAACTACGCATATCTTCGAAATATTTTTTTTTTATTTCGAAAACATGCCGGCTTCCTCAAGATGTTTTCCTTCGGTGAAAACGGTGATAAGTGAGTACATAAAATAGAAAAATTTTGTGATGCCGGCAGGGATCGAACTTGGTTGCTCGAGTAAATTGAATTAAAGGCGAGCGCCCGAACACCGAGCTATCACGGCTCTATTTAACTACAAAATAATGGTTTCGTAGTCAAGAACTAGCCAGTACGTTAAAAAAATGTAACAAATTACTCACATGAAATTTCTTAATATGTTCCACGTAAATCTTACTTCCTCTCTTATTTTTACGATGATTACTGTGTTTATTTTTTATTTATCTTTCGGCTTTCAATTCTTTGTAATCGGACAATCTAAACTGTTAACGACGATTGTGGTATATACAGTTCTTGGCCTAGCTGTGGGGCATTTATGGGCAGTAGAGATCGTTTCCAGATTTTTTCGAACAACATCGTGTAAAGCTTAAAAGGACTATTTAAAACAAAACTCATTATTTTTATTATTCATTCTTTTCTTTGAGCTTCAAATTAAAGTAACTTTACAAGGATGATAGAGCCAGGGAACTTGTTTTTTTTTTTAAATATATTACGAATGCAATACTGATAACAAAAACTGTATCGATTAGCCGCACCATCGAGTAGTCCCCGAAAAGCCGGACTATTTTGCGTCGAATATTTAATGAATGATGAATGAATGTCTAATATCGCAACTGTTGGGTAATATGGCAATGTTTTTTTTTAAAGAGAAAATGTGAACAAACGAGCAGACGAACCACCTAAGTCTTTATCTGTTACCTAATATGTATCCATAGTACAAGCCTTGCTTATAACGATAACTAGGTAACGTTGTCTAAAAATATGTCCTGAAATATTTATTTTTTACTAGCTGACTGCGCAAACGTTGTTTTGCCATATAAATTATTTCTAGAGGAATCGGAACGCACGCATAGTGTTTGACAGGCATAGTAGACAGGTTGACAGGAACAGTTTGTATGGGAAAATAAAATTGTTTCTATTTCGATTTTCCATGTAATTTTTCCACAATTTCTCATCGTTCAAACCATCCCTGGACTGCCACAAATATTTCAAAACCAAATCAAATTCAAAGCCAAATCGGTCCAGCCGTTCTCGAGTTTTAGCGAGACTAACGAACAGCAATCCGTTTTTATATATATAAGATTAATCAAAAATATTTATTTATTTGTTGTACGCTTTCGCTGGCGTGATGCCACTTTCTTCCTAGCGCTCAAAGCAGCTCGCAGACACGCCTGCGGTCACTCCGGCTTCACTCGCCTTAACATACAACTCGGATATTAAGATTCCCATCAATCACTGTAACATGATGGATGTGGCGTGGGCAAAAACTGATTACGTTGCCCGCTCGATAAAAACTCCGTTGTCTGTCCAGCTTTTGGTATCTCTCGACGACTGGCCAGTAGATTGGCTTTTTTGGTACGAATCAATACTAACTCTCGACTCTGGCTCGCGTGATTTCGACACTTACGCGATGATCGTTATGTTTTGTTTCATTTATTTGTACATGTTCTATTGGTGTCGGTACGCCGAAATAAAACATGAATATATTCGAACACGTTGTGATTTTAAGTAAAAAAGGTAAGTAACATCCTATGTATGTCCCACTGCTGGGCCAAGGCCTCCTCTGTACAGAGGGTATAAGGGCATAGTCTGCCTAATTTAAGCAATCTGACTAATTTAAGAAATTTACTTATTAAATAGCAGGAACGTACGTACCGAATAATTATCATGATATGATAATCAACATTTCATATCTGCATGGCAACCATTTTATATACACTACATTCCCTGTATCAAAGAAAAAGATGTAATACCTTCTAAGCTGTTTCTATAAACTTGTAATTACTGTAATTGTTTTGCTCTACCTATAAAAAACCACAGGGTCGATTGTTTCTCGAGCAAAAAACTATAAACTTCACCAGCGTTATGTTAATTATGTTCGTTCAATTAAACATTATTTTCATATTCAATTCCGTTCCATTATAAAATAGGTCAGTATTATTAAATAGACTTGTCTTTCCAGCAACATTATTACAATAAAATCATTAAAACTTTCGTGAGACATTATTCTTGCAATTTAATGCAATAACATTATTACTTTGTCATATGTAAAAAGTAAAGTGACCCGACTGCGGATTGGCGCACTTCACATAACTTCGAAATATTTATTTTGTAATTATTTCGAAAACATGAAGGTTTCCTCACGATGTTTTCCTTCACTGCTGAACACGTGATAAGTCAGCACTTAAAAATAACAATTTCATTGGTCCGGGGATCGGACTTGGTTGCTCTTGTAAATTGAATTAAAGGCGAGCGCCCGGATAACCTGGACAGCTGTATATGTAACAGATAATAACCAATAGTATATTTTTACGCTATAAGCAGTCACTATACATAGCATACAGTAAAGCTTTTTAAAATGTTAGCAAAAAGCAACAATATAACACGAAATTAATCTTCAATCGCCCGTTAATCGTGAATCGCTATTTAACTTTCGTGCAACTTCGAAATCCGTTTACAAAGGCCGGTCTGAAAGACCTTCTCTGACCTAGAAAGTTGTTTTCCATGTTGCTATGCTTTTAAATACCCCACTTGCCAGTTTCTCCGCACTCTCTTGACAGTTGATATAGTTTGTAGAGAAAGGTTTATGTGACATATACGTGTATTTATGTGTCTTAATCGGTTTGTTTTTTTGGTTTTGATTGTCGCAGGGCCCCCGAAATTGATAGCTTATCTTCCTGCTTGCTAAAATCGACATAAGTCATGCAGAAGTCTACTTGTGTGTGTTTTATTGTATTTTATGTGTATCTACTGGCGTTGTGTCATCGAACATTGGTGTTTGAATG